GTGTAGATTGTGCTAGAAAGGTTGGATCAGATGATCCTTGAGGTCCCATTCAACCTGGTATTCTATGATTCTGTGTTTAAGAAGTTGGGACAAAATACCATTTCTGGGATGTACTGAGATACCTGGCGTCACTTGGAAGAGTTCATGCCAAATCATGCTTAGTGTTGTCCTCGAACTTATGCCTCCATCCAAATTATCTAGGCGCTTACATTCTCAGCAGGCTGAGAATGAGCCTGGTCTTCATGTGTGACAAACAGTATAGAGTACTGGCCTTGAACTTTTCTGCTTGTGTTGGTAGCAGTATGGAGCTTTGTGCAACCTGTATTAATAATGCCAAGTACTCATACTGTAGCAAACACAAAATAAGGCAAGTGGCAAGATTCTGCCATGTATTTACTAAGCAGGACGGGTGGTGCAGTTAGGAAACTAAGCCTTTCTCACTCAGTGTCTTTGGCTGAAATGCTACCTTCGATGTGACCATGGTCATGACTAACTCTCTGCCCTCAGGAGTTATTCTGTGTGTGTGGCGCTCTGAAGCGAGCCCGGCTGGTGCACCCTGGAGTGGCTGAGGTAGTATTTGTCAAGAAAGAAGATGCTATCACAGCATATAAGAAATACAACAACAGGTGCTTAGATGGTAAGTTTGAGGCCAGAGTTGCATTTAGGATAGATAAATCAACAAAGACTTTTCTACCTCAGTGGAGAGTTTAAAAGCATCTCAGATGCTCATGTGCTACCAAGAGAGAGGAAGTGCCAGAAAATCAGTTTGAGAGCTAGACAGTGTAATACGCTCCTGTGTAACTAGCTGAATATATGTACAGTTTATTTAAGGGAAATTAAAAAAGAAGTCTTCCTAGAAAGAGAATGCTCAAAGCAAGAGGCAGAGTCCTGGTGATTCCACTGGTCTAACTTCCAGATTAAATTTCTTGTTCCTAATCCAGTGCCAAGAGCTAGATAGCCCTTAGGAAGGCTTTACCTGCTTACAGAATAGCTGTTTGCAAAGTACAAGTGAAACTAATATTTGCAAAACTCAAGGCGTAGTCAGAGACATTTTGAATCAGACCTGTAAAATAATCAGTATCAGCTTCTCCATAAACTCTGAACAATGCAATTGTTAATCTGGATCCACCTGCAATGTTGTTATAAACTGAAATTAGGTATTAATTTTTAGCTGTAAATAGATGCTTTTTCTTTCTCTAGATGAGTGACATGTTACGAATGTCAGATGAGGAGCAGAGACCTGAGAATGGGAGATTCTCTTGTGTCTCTGCTAAGGGTTTTGTACCTATATGTAATTTCTTAATTAGTGTGAGTCTTCATATTGTACTGACTGTTTCAGTGGCTCTTCTGTTGCTGTGATTTTTGCAACAAAAGATGTATCGGCTGTTCTTTCTCATGTTTCCCGAGCATGTGGAACTCTATTGCTTGCACTGATGTGTGATATTTCTGGGATATTGCCTTACCGTGATTCTGATATAAGGACTTTTTTAATTGTGTGTGTTTAGGTCAACCAATGAAATGCAATCTTCATATGAATGGGAATGTCATCACCTCAGACCAGCCTATATTGCTGTAAGTGTACTTTGGGTGGGAGGAAGAACCAAACACGTTTACAATTCTATTTTGAGGAGAACGTGAGGGGAGGGGAAGAAAACTGCTGGCAAATTATTGTCCCATGAATATTCTCCTTCTCTTCTTCTCTGTGGTGCTCTGTGTTGAGCTGAGTGCAATATAGCTTGACTCCATAGTGTTCCTAGCCCTGAGGCTCAAAACAAGCCTGAGATGAGGAAGTTTTCTTGTGAGGAAAGCATATTTAAAATCTCCCTCTCTAATATTGGGAAGGGGGCAACACCGAGAACAGTAAATGCAGACATAGCGTTAACCTCTCATTATGAAATAAAATTTAAATACTGCTTTTTTTTTTAATCCTGCAGCCGATTGAGTGATACCCCTTCAGTGAAGAAGGAAGGGGAACCACGCCGGTCAAGTGCAAGCGCCTCCTCAAATCCCCCAGCTGAGGTGGACCCTGACACTATCTTGAAGGCACTCTTCAAATCCTCAGGGGTCTCTGCCTCTGTGCAGCCTACAGAATTCAAAATTAAACTCTGAGAAGGGGGAGCAAGCAGTGGACTGGAAAACTCATTTAAGTTGGGAAATGAGAGAAGTGCAGGAGTGCAGATGTTATTTGCATTTGCCTGCCTTGAAATTTTTTGTTTTCTATGATCGCTACCTTACTGTACAATAGTGTTTCCTCTTGTGTGTGTACTTTCTGTTTCCATAGTTGGAGTTTTCTTCCATGATTTTTTTTTTTCCAAAAGAATAACCTCCCCCTTCTGCCAGTAATGTATTACTAAGCATATACCATGTAACTCCCTCCTTTATTCCAAAGTCCCTAGTGGCCATTAAAAGTGCACATAGATTTTGAGGGAAGGAGAGGTGATCTCCTTCTCTTTTCTTCTGACTGACCTTTAAGTAAAAGGTACATCCCCTTGATTATCAACAGGCAAGAACACCACATTGTTTCTGAAATTGCTGCACTGGGTACAAAGTCAGGTGTGGCCCCATACAGGAGGCGCCATCTTGCGTCTTTGACTTGTGTGCATGCAGTGGCATACTGCTTCATTCTGGCTGTTGGACATTTTTCTGCTCAGCAGCTGTGACGTTGAGAAATGTGAAAAACTGAGCTTCCAGCTGTGTATACCAGCCAACGGAGGCAGAAAGGACATATGCACAAGTGCACCACCCATTGTGCAGTGGGAGGGATGCTTCAACTCTGGTAATGCAGAGAGGTGGGGGGGAAAAAGGGCTCTGGCATTTGTACAATGAATATATTAGCCCTGTAGGGTCAGGCTCAGTTGCTCTCATCTTTCTGGACTGAAAAATAAAAAACAGTCTTGTGTTCAGAGCTAGAGGAAATCCAAGCGTTCGCTCCCATTAGACTGTATCGCATCTTCCTGCTGTTTGGAACGTTACTTTTTTTTTCTTACCTTCTAACTTACCCAGACTCCTATAAAAAGGAAGGAGCTGGGGCCTTTTTCAGATACTAATACGTAGGAAGCAGACTTTTCTTGCGCCTGAGAACTCACTTCTTCGAGAGATGTCATTTGGGCAGTGTTTGGCTGCTGTGGGGGCATGCTGCTTGTATGCATGGATTCAGAAGATGATTGCTGCGCTTCATGGCTTCAGGGAGAGGTTTTGGAGAGGAGAACAGTTAGCGCTCTGTAAGGAACACACAGGAGAGGAGTGTTAAGCAAGTCCCATGCAGAGCAGCAAGGATGTACCTTGGGCCAGTGAGGAGCCACAGGCCACTAGGTGGCACTTCCAATACTTCCTTTGTTAGTACAGCATCATTTCCATGGGTGTTTGAAGTCCCAGTAGCACCATTCATTTGTATTTGTTCAAATTGTATTATAAGAGAGGAAAGCCAAGAGCCACTTCCAGAATCTGGTTGGGGTTTGAACTTGATCCTTCTAGCTAGGAGACTAACCTAATCCATTCTGTTCAGCTCTGCTGAACTTTAATGAGCTCTCTGTAACTGTTGTAGGTCCAGATTCCATTTCTCGGTCAACCCTATGTTTCTTTTGCTTTCTTGTTCTGTATTAACTCTTTGCTCTTATCTAGCTCGTGCAAACCATTCCTCTATCTCACTGTATCCCTTTTAGCCATGGAAATAACTGAGGATTTGGCAGGACTTGTTTTTCCAGAGTACTCTCTTTGGTTTGGAAGCCGACAACACCGTTATTGGTAGGGTGCTTCGTGTGAACAGCAGATGTTTGTAGGGGAGGGGACTTAAGACAGCTATTGTTCTCCTTTTTTAGATTGCCCATCAAACACCTGTGTTTTATTAAAAAAAAAAGCGGGGGGAGGGGGAGGAAACATTAGGGATTGGAGAAGATAATGTATTATCTGTTTCTGAATAAACGTTTGTTATACAGAGAGTGGATTCTAAGCCTTTTTAGATGCTGTGAAATAACTAAAGATAGGTGGAGTTGTTCCAACATCGAATCAAGCATGCTTTTAGAAGAATATAGAGACTTCAAAACTGATAATGTGATGAAGAGCAAGAGGAGTATATGGATAAGAGAATTGATGCTCATAAGCCTTTTAATCTGGATCATTGAAATTAGTAGCTGATTCTTGCTACTAAGTGGGAGCAATTTGTGTCCCCACCTAGTTCCAATTCTGTTGTCACAGAGAAGAAAAAGAATGGCCTTTGTTATTGACAGCCTAGTAATTTAAAAAGTAATTTTACAAAAAAAAATATGGCCATGAAATCAGGGTACCTGTTCTAGGCGAAGGCGGGTACTTTCATTATCAGCTAGACACAAAGCTGCAGAAATGTGAAGACGCATGTATTGTGAGTGCATATCTTGTCTCTTCTGAAAGAATGGGGAGATTCAAGCATTTTTTTCTTTTATTAATAGATTCATGTCCACTCCAAAAGCCAAAGAGCAAGATGCACTTTGTAACTTGCTGTTAAGTTGTACATTGTGTTTAGATTATCTGTGAGAAATTATGATGATGTTAACATACTTCCTTGGAAGAACTACTGTTCTCTGCCTCTGCGATCTATGGCAGTATTTTTTTTTTTTAAATTTTATTAAATTGGTGAAGTCAATGGTTATCTAAACACCACTCCATGATTTGTTTTACAGCAATGTCTTGGTGTGCATTGCTGCTGTTGTTCTCAGTCAGCTCTCTGAAGTTATCTTAGTCTTCTAATACTTGGTGTGGCTTCTTTGGTCGGGCACTGAAAGAAGACTAACCTTCAAGCAGTTCACCTTGCAGCTCTCCAACTTCTGGCTGTCCTGCAGTTATCCTAATCTTGCTTGCATTCCACTGAGCTCACCTACCACCTTCTGACCTCGCATCCCTGCACATTTGCCCTCATGCAGCATGGTTATATATTTTTGTTCAGTTTTCTTTCTGGGCTGTTAAGAGATTATAAACTCGCATACGAAACACTGATTGCTTGCAGTAATTCAATATGGCTGGCCAGGATGGGTGGTAGGTAATTTGTAATAGTGTTTCTCTCTTTTTCCCTTGGCTTTTTCAAAAACATGCTGACTTCCGAAGTGATGCCACAATTTGCAAGTTTGTCTGGTATATTTTCATGGCTTTTGCATGTACCATTTTTTCTGATAATGTTGATTAACCTGGATATTTGTTTGGTGAGTCGACTCTCCGTGTTATTTCATGCTTTCACTGACCCTTTTTTCACCTTGTACATATGTCTTGCTTGGATATCTTTATTTTGGAGTGCTCCTGTCTTCCATTCAGTCATAAATACAAGTTCCTCTGTAAAGGGCGTCATCTTTTTTTTTTTGTTTTCCCGATTAACAAGAGTCTTTAAAAACAGCTGTTCTTACAGTTGTCTTTGAATGGTTTTAGATATCTTTTGAAGATTTAGTTCTTCTTGCACTCAACCATCCGCGGCGGCGGCTCCCTCAGGGCGGGCAGCGCCTGCAAGGCTCCCCGAGGGAGCCGCCGCCGCCGCCCCTAGCGGGGCCCGACGAGGGTTGGCGGGGGGGGCCGGTGACGGCTGCAGGGGGTTTTTTTTTTATCCGGTGCGTCGCCCGCAGCTCTGGCGGTGAAGTTCGGAGAGCGGCAGCGCTCGCCCCACTGTCTTTTGGTGAAGGAGCACCAGGTGCGGGAAGGGGCCGGCACCGCGCCCCCGCCTCGCCGCACCCTCTTCGTTCTCAACGTCCCCCCGTACTGCGGCCCGGTGAGTGGGGCTGGGGCGTCTCCCTGGCGGCGGGGGGCGGCTGGAGGCCGAGGGCGTCGCCTCAGGGGCGCGGGGCCGCGGGCGAAGGAGCCAGGCGTGCCCCGGGGTAGCCGTGGGCAGAGGGGCTGGGGTCGCGCCGGGGAGCCTCCCGGTGCGCCCTGGAGTCCGTGCCTGAGAGGGTGGGGAGAGAAATTACTCCTGCTTTCCCGTACCCTTTGTTATTTCTTATTCTCCGCGTCAAGGACTCTCTGTCTAGGCTGTTCTCCCGCTGCGGGCACGTCCAGGCTGTGGACGTATGTGAGAAACCAGGGCCAGGAGAGAAAAAAGAAAAACTCACGTCCAAATTCTTCAACCACAAAACTGCAACGGTAAAGCTCGGGGGAGGGGGGAATACTGATGCTTTGGTGGTCAGAATGGGAACAGGTTGCAAGCACTGGATGGTGCTGTTTGGAACATGAGATATGGAAAACCATTTGGGGGCATTGGGTGACGTGATCGCTTATTTAAGTTTACATTATGTTTTTTTGCTATCTCGCTGTAACTTGTGGTTTGATTTTTATTTTATTATTTTATTTTATTTGTACTGCAGCTCCTTGCTGTATCGCCAGTTTCCCTGGTATATCTGACTGGCCTGGGTGTCTTTTTCTTTTAGGGATTTCAAGTGGCGTATGTGGTGTTCAGGAAACCATCTGGTGTCCAGGCAGCCAAGGCCCTGTCACAGGAAGGTCCCTTGCTGATATCAACAGAGAGTCACCCTGTGAAAACCGGCATTAGCAGTAAGTCAGCCCTAGCTGTCTTCCTGCTAGCTAGTGCCGGGGAAAAAACTATACACCTTCCTTGCTGAATCCTACCCTACATGTCCCAGATTAATTCTCACCATTTTGTACTGAGCCGGGAGACATCCAGCGTTTCATTGTCCTGCTTTTATTGTTCACAAGGTAGCAGTCTTGTACTGGATGTTGTCATCTGGTCCAGTGACCCAATGGGAGAATGGGGTCACTTGGTTCAATGGAAGGGTGGTTTTTCCCAACATCTTTTCAGTATCACGTAGGTTCAGAGAAACTGGCTGTGTCTTGCCCTCAAAATAGACTCCAGACTCAATAACAGGCACTAGGTGCCTGTCAAGATGACAGCACTTCAGATGTGACCCCTTGACAGGAATGCAGCCCTGAATGTTGCACCTCTTGGGCTTAAGGCTAGCCCACTCCTGCTTGGGAAAGTTGCAAGCTCTTCCCATCGCTTACTGGCCGTGGCCTGGACTGCAAGTTGGTTGAGCTGTGGCAGTGGGGAGGCTGAACAGGAATGGGAGCAGAGTGTGTCCTTCCCCACAGCAGTTCTCTCTAGTGTTGCCCAAAGGCATCACACTAGGGCTTACTTCTAACAGAGGCTACCGCTGACTTCAGCCTTCTCTGTTTCAGAGTGGATCGCCAACTATGCGGCCTCAGTCGTGGATCAGGAGGAGCTGAAGGCTGAGGTGGATGCCTACATGCAAGACTATGACAAAAAGATAGCAGAGGTGAGGCCAGGCTGGGGAGGGAACCCAGCTACAGAGTATGTTTGGGGAGAGGAAGGGATGAGAGAAGATGTCTCAGTGGAAGGGACAGAGGGAAACACACTGGTTGGCAGCATTTTACTCCCAGTTGCTAGTGGGCAGTCAGGTCCTGGTTTGGTCCACAACACCTGACCCTTCCACCCAGGGCTTACAACAGGTATCCACAAATGAACTGGGTCCTGGCTGGTGTGCAGTGTTGTGACTGAGAGTTGAATATCCACGCCGTTGGTCCCACGCCTGCCTTCAGATCTTGTGCAGAAGCGTGAGCTGTAGCTTTGCGTGTGTGTAAGGGGGACTGTGGGGGAGCCGTGCATCGGGCTGCTGGCAGCCTGTCTGCCCTGACCTGCCTCACCCTCCTGTCTTTACAGGAAGAAGCCAAAGCGGCCGAGGAGGAGGGCGTTCCAGATGAGGAGGGCTGGGTGAAGGTAACGCGGAAGGGACGGAAGCCTGGCCTACCCCGAACAGAGGCTGCCAACCTGCGGGTGCTGGAGAGGGAGAAGCAGAAGAGGGCCCGCAAAGAGCTGCTCAACTTCTATGCCTGGCAGCATCGCGAGACCAAGAGGGAGCGTGAGTGTCCGAGTTTCCTCCTACCCCTACCCGTGTCTCTTGTCTCTCACACTGTGGCCCAAAGAGCATCCTTTTTCCCTCAGTGGAGGCTACATCCAGCTGCAGGTGAACAGTTGGTTGGGTGGTTGTGCGAATGGCCTTGCCAGCTCTTGAGGGCCCTTCGCCACCACCTGTCCTAGCAAGGGCTGCTGGAATATTTTGCGGGAGAGTGCACAAGTCGTGGCAGTCTGGGCAAAGGCAATTGAAAGGGAAAACTAGCGTGTTTCCTCCCCAAGAGGGAGCTGCAGCACTGCCGGAGGTGAATGGCCAGAGCCCCAGCTTGGCACTCAGCCCAGGCGCAAAAGGACCTGCTCTGGGAAGTGTGTGTTTGCAAGTGTCGGGACTGAGCCCCTCCCAGTGCGTGAAGCGAAGCTCCCCGGGAGAGGGAGATCTGCTGCTCCCGTGTGACCTGTCCTCTTTCTGCCTGTTTCAGACATCGCCCAGTTGAGGAAGAAATTTGAGGAGGACAAGCAGAGGATTGCGCTGATGCGAGCCCAGCGCAAGTTTCGGCCGTACTAAGCTGTGCTGAGCTATTCCTCAGATGCCTGTGGACTCCAAGGATTTCAAGGAATTGAGGCAGCTTCAGGTTGTCCCTGCCTTTGGATCTGAAATGGGAGATCCCAGCAACCACCGCTGGAGGGGGAGTTTCCTGCACTCGCACTGGTATCTTCCTGCTCTCCCAGCCATCGTCCAGCCCTGTGGCACCACTTCCCAGGGTGCTCAGGTCAAGGGGCTGAGGCACTTCCTGGGGTAACCTGTATCTTCCGGCCACCCAAGGCCCTCCTAAAGCTTGGTGAGAGCTGGGATTGACCTAGCACAGCCTCTGCAGGGGCAGGGAATGGCTGAAGAACTGTAAACAAACTGCTGCTGTGTTCTCAGAACATGGGAGTGCCTCACTCTCTCCCGCAGTCTGCTGCGGGGGACAGCTTCTTGTGTGCTGGGGTGGCGATTAAAGTCATGGCTTTGTATGCCAGCACTCCTTTGCACATGTCATCTGGGGGTGCGTAAGAAGAGGAGGGAAGTGACCTTGGGAAAAGCCCAACTGGGAAGTTCCCAGACCTGTTGTCACAAGCAAAGATCAGCGGTGTGGTACAGAGCCCTACCCCTTCCCTTGGCATTTCCCCCCTGGGCAGTTCCCTCTCAGCCAGGTGTTGAGGTGCCTGGTCTCCCAGCTGTGAGTGGACCTCTACAGCCATAGCCTGGGCTATGGGACCTTCTGCTGTTCAGCACCATCACTGGAGCAAGACGAGACGGCAGCCTGGCTTTGGAGGGAGAAACCAGACTCTCACCAAGGCCCGTTTCCACTTAACCTGTCACCAGCCCGCAGGAGGCAGGTGAGGACGGTGACGGGCACATCCAGCTGCGGGGCAACACATTTGTACTGCCCACATACCATTTGTGCAGCTTTGGACTTAATGATTGTTCACCCCAGCACACTCTGTGATCAGAAAGGGGCTGTAACCCACCTACCCCCAGGCTTTTACACATTTATTTTACTGCCTGCAGCCTTGGTATGGGTGTGTAAGGTAGAAATGCCAGTAAATTCCACAGAGTTGGGTTAAAATGGGTTTACCCTCCCCTAGAAAACCCACTGCAGCTGCAGCTTCCATTGTATGGGGAGGCTGCCAGGCCTGCTTGCTTCAGTTGGCTTTTTGCATCAGTTTAACTACGAGGCAGATGGATCCTTAATATGCTGTATCTAAAGCAGAATGCATGTAAAAATCACTGCCTCCTAAGACTGGCATTTTAGCTGCTTAGGTGAGCATCCCAAAAGAAAGGAGGTTCACTCTTCTATATAGTCAAGAAGACAGAGTTAACATTGGGAGATTAATCTTTATTTAGAAGGACAGAAATCATCTGCCGACTTTTCCACTATTAGTAGTTCTCCTAGCTGCTTCAGCTAGAGGATTAGCGACTCGTTCCCTAGGAGTTCATTGAAATTGCCTTCCGTGCCCAGGTGGGCTCTTACTTAAGCTGATTTTTAAACAAGCAGCAGCTCTCAGAGTGGAACAGAGACACTGAGGCCCTCTGAGCTCAGGCACCCATGGAAGTAAGGAGAAAAGCAGAACGCTTTCCTGTTTTTTCAGTAGGTCTAACCCTGGGAGGAGGCTGGTCGCACCATCCTCGAGGAGGAAGAGGGCTAAGCCACCTCTCTCTTGAAATGCTACAGCTGGTGCTGCTGCTGCTCCCACAGAGGGTGCCTCTACTTGTATTAGTGCTCCATGTTGGGGTGCAAGTTGGGAGCAAGCAAGGGGAAAGCCGCTCTGGACATCTACCCCTGTGCTCACTGAGCTGGAAGTGGAGGAAGGATTCTTCTCCCCTTTGACAACTGAGATATTTTGCTCAGCTCTCTTCCAGGGAACCCCAGCAGACCTGCTTCCACCCTGCGGTGAGCTAAGCTTAGGGAAGGGTGTCATGAAACTGATGTTGGATGCAAGGTAGGATGGTGACAATTCCTCCAGAGCCTGCTTTTTAGCTCCCTGTTCCGGACTGCTGCAGCAGTTAGGGCTTCCTAGAGCCTGGCTCTGGTGTTTTGCGCCGTCAGGAAGTTGCTGATGATCCCAGACACCACCTCAGGCTCGTTCAGGTGCACAAAATGACTCCCAGGCACCTCTACTAGCTGGATGTGCTGGAGGGGGAAGACACAAGAAGATGTGGACCTAAAAAGCATTCCCTCAGGCACGCTGTGCTTGCTGTGTGGCACTCTGCAGGGGGTGAGGCAGGACAGGGATGACAGGACTAGGGAAGAGCTGGGTCCAGAGGGCATTACTGCCTTGGGACTTTGCCAGCAGGGGCAAAGCTGGCTTCCCTCCCGTGTCAGGACAAATCACCTAGTGGGGGGTGTCCACCAAGGTGAGCTGCTTCCTAGCTGCTGCTCCCAGGTTGGTGGTGCATAGAGTGAGGTGCAAGGATGGAGTTTGCTCTCACCTCTTTGAGGGTAGACTTGAACACCTCCCAAAAGGCTTTCACAAAGTGATTTCTGCTCTCTAGGCTGTGCGGTGCCAAGAGTCCATCCTGTGCTCTGAAAAGCAACAGCAAGGCTCAGTACAGCATACAGTGTGCCTCTATTTGTCTTTGGTGCTGTCCTGGGCAGAAGCAGTGTCCCCAAGACAGTGGGGCAACTGACCCAACTGCTCTTTCCAGGCTCCTTGTAAGCAGCAGGGTTACAGGTAGCATGGTTACAGCAGGTTACAGCAGCATGGTAGTCAGAGGAGCAACGCACAGCTTGGCTAAGCAGCTATTTTCTATGAAACTGTCTGGGTTTGGGTGACTGCCTAGTCGTATCAGAGTGGAGATTGGTTAAATATTATCCCCCCAGGGCTGGCTCCTTAACTGCTCTGAGTACATCATTGCCTGCCCCCACCCTGTCTTCTGCTCTTAACTTTTTCCTTCCAGCCAGCTCCTACATCTCCCCTCTGTCCCTTTCTCCACTGCATCCTGCTGTTTTAAACAGGGTGTGCCCTGCTTGGAGAGGGAAATACCAGGGCAGTCCTCCCCGAGGAACCACCATTAGACCTCCTGCAGAGTTAAGGTTACGATGTCTCCTACTGTGATGCAGGTGATGGGACAAGGTGACAGCCCAGGCTCAAAGGGATGTACTGTGTATGGCCTAGAGGGCTTGTCCTCACCACGATGTTGCATTTCTGGGCAAGCAGGAAAATCCTTAAGCTCTTACAAGATTTCAACAGACAAGGGAAGCCAAAACTGCACCTCATTTCTCAACTTCTAGCACTTCCTCTTGTTTCCTAGAGCGTCTTTTAACAGCGCTGCACAGGCCAAGGTAGCCAGAGCACTGCACATCTTGCCCTCCAAGGAGATGGGGAAAAATGCAGAGGAGGAGTGACAGAACCAGCTACCCACCCAGGCAGCCTAACAGCTTGCGGGGCTCTGTGCAAGCCACTGACTACGCCCCCACAGCTGCTCCCTGCCCTGGGCACCACAGGGGAGGGCTTGCAAGAGCTGGGTCAGGCCAGGGGCTCCAGGACCAGCTGGAGGAGGCGGAGGCTGCTGTGGTTTCGCCTGTTTGCTCAGGCGAGAGGTTTCAGGGCCTGGAGAAGGGGGCAGGCTGGGTGCTGTGACTGGGGGAAGAGACGGGCCAGGAGGAAAGCAAGTAGGAGTGGTGCTGTGGAGGGTTGCGTGTATGCCGGGATGGCCGCTTGCTATAGGGCCAAGGGACAGAAAGTCGTGGGATGGCAGTGTGAAGGCATGTCCAGGGCAGGTCCAGCATTTCCTTGGTCAGCCTTGCGCCAGGGAGGCCCAGCCTGAAAATGCAACGCAGGCCAGGAGGAGGATGTGCCAGCTGCTCTCTGCCTGCTCCAGGAGCCTGCCCAGCCCAGGGCAGCGGTGGGGAACCAGGAAACGCTTCTCACGTGCGAGGCTGTACTGTTGCGCCAACTGGCCCAAAGGTCTGGGTGGCCACTGCAGAGGAGGGGGTAGCAGAGGACTCCCTTCTAACCTTCATCCCCTCCACCCAGGGCTGCAGGGAGGCAGCAAGGGTTGGTTTGGCTTGTGCCTCACTCACACAATGATGAGAATGCGGTCCTGAATCTTCTGCAGGAGCTTCACGCACTGCTCCACTGTGAAGGACTCTCGACTCTGCTGCAGGTGCAAAGACAGAGAGAGCGGCAAAGGTCAGGGACAGCAGCTGGGGGCAGAGGGTGTCCCTGATCCCTGCCGCGCCAGCAGCTCTGAAGGCAGAAGTGGCTGCAGCCCCAAAGCTGCAGTGCTGAGACATGACAGGCGGCCAGGCTGCGCACAAGAGTAGCTGGCTCTGCAAAGGCTCCTTTTGTCCAGCTGTGTTTCAGGGCTGCCAACAACGCTGCCTGCTAGGATGCAGCACATATGGGAATGATCTCATAGCAGAGAAAAGCTTTAAAAATCCTTTTACTAAAAAGGAGACGGTACGATATTCTGGCTTTCGTAGCCTGGCAGTGGCGCAGGTAGAGGAGGCCCTACTTGCTCAAAAGTGGCACAAAGCTATCAGAATATCAAACATCAGGACTCTGCTCCACTCTCTCACCCCTTCTTATACAGGTGACCTGACAAAGAAGCTGACCGAAAGCATCCATCCATCTGCTGCCTGAAGAGTTATAAATGGCAGGAAAATGTGGCCAGGAGGCCCTGGGGCAGAGGAACTGCTAAAAAAATCTGTAACATTTTCCAGTGACTCTGTAAGCTGACTCAGTTACTGATCAAGTGCAGGCTCTTTTAACAGCAGCATTTAAAAGAGAGGTGGGAATTAGGGAAGCAGAAAGTAAACAGTTGGGTGGAGGCAGGGCCTGGGCTCAGCAAGCTCGGGGCTCAGAAGCAGCAGGGGGCACATCCAAAGAGCAATACTCACCGTATGGACTCTCATGTCTCTGTTATACACCAGGCCTGGAATGAAAAAACAAGAGGTTTTCACGTCTCACACGAGCAGGAGTTGCTCTCCTTTTCCTCACCTTTGGGGTCTGCCCAAGACTTTTTGAGACAAGAGGAACAGGATTAATTCAGATTTTCCCTTTTTTTGATTTCTTTTCTTTAGCCATTCTAGGACTCGAGCACCAGCCC